AGATTAAGTTGAATTATTTTCAAATGCATTCACAAAATGAAAGGGTCAAACTATATTATCTCCAAGGATCTCCTAGCACAGAAATTCTACTGGGAATCAACACAGCACTGCCACAGAGGAAGCAGCTGAACAAACGAAATACTTCTTGAAAAACTTCTTCCTTTCAAAGCTAAAGCTCTTCCTTCACCTACTGCCCAATCCTATCAAGGTTCACTCCCTCCCCAGAAGTTCTTTGGTATATCAAGTCAACAACCCTCTGCTATAAACCTGACATATTACATATGTTGAAGAGGGTATTTAAACACATTCACGGCCTGACCTTTATGATCAAACCAAGATGAGTAGAAATCGGTTTAATAGAAAAATTTACCTTCATCACCAACAAACATTATTCAGCAACAGAGAGTGCTATCTGAGCTTAAGCTTACATCATATAAGTTTGAGACAGAAATAGCAGCATGGAGAAGAGAAGGCTGCCTGCTTCCTGGTGAGATTTCTTCTGCTTGGACACACATTTCCCAGATCATTTACATGTAAATATTCTAATACCTCATTTCATCACTCACCAGCAGCTTTGTACTGCTCTTTTAAAAAGATAAAGTGAAAGCCCCAAAAGCTGACCTCTGCATTTGTACTCACAACAGTGACTAAAAGGGCAGACCCTCAAAAATAGTAAAGTATAAATTCTTCAAGCAGAAAATGCATACCACAGGTTAATGTAAGCAGCTATTCTGAGAAAATTACTTTTTCTCTCCAGACCACATAGCAGGGCCTGAAAAAGTTACACCAAATTTGTGAAAGGGAAGGGAATCAAGCTAAGGACCCAATATCTGAACAGAAGTTCAGTCCTTCCTCTGAACTTCTTACTGCAACTTACATATTCCTCCTTCTGTATTTAGGGTTTGCCTTTGGGTTATACACAGTTTACGAACTTCAATTCATGTCCCTCTTTTAGGAGGGCTATATCTTAAGAGTAACTCAATGTCCAATCAAATCAAACAGGTGCTGGAGGTGAAGAAGTTTTTAGAAAGCTAGATCATGTAGAGAAACTTTCCATTCATACTTGTAAAAAGTTTGCCACATTCATGAGAGAAGATGTCTTCCTGCAGCCATCTTCCTTCACTGCAGAACTTACAAGGCTCTGCAACTTTCCTCAAAATAATTGGATTCACGGAAAGGTTGTCTTCCTAAATACCAACTAACTTCACTGCATGAACCTTTCACCAATGTTTATTTAAAAGGTATTAACCTTTTAGGCAAGAACTATTCTTGCCTAATTTCCTCAAGCAACCAGGCCCTGAGAATAAAGAGAGCAAAATGTCCTTTTTTAAAAAAAGAATATTTTATGAATTATTTTTTTTAGAGAAACATCGATGTGAGAGAGAAATATAGATTGGCTGCCTCCTGCACACCCCCTACCAGGGATCAAGCCTGAAATCCAGGAATGTGCCCTGGATGCCACCCAGCCAACTGAACCACACTGGCCAGGGTGAGAGCAAAATGTTTTAAAAAGCACGGTTTTAAACAAAGTTCTACCCTGTAGCACATCTGTCAGAGAACTTCAATTCTAGTTTACAATGTTTTGAGTGCTGCAGCATCAGCCTCAGGTTTCCACTATCCAGAGTGGGCTCTAAAATAAAACAAAAAACATAGTGGACACTAAATTTCTACATAGTAAACACACAGCTGTCTCTCTGTAATCCTAAATTGCCTCAGAACCCACTGAAGAAAACCTTTTTCCATCTTTTGATAAGGTTCCTCAATATTGGGATAAGGAGAGCTAATTCTCCCAAAGACAGTCAACAATGGTTGTATTTTCTTAGAATTGATCAATCATAGATCTGAGAAAAACAAACAAACAAACAAACAAACTTAAAAACCGGCACACTAAAGATCAGCCTTTGTAACACAACCTGAACCCCCTCATATCATACCATTTTAGAAAGGAAAGTTTTAAACCAGTCATTCCCAACCAAGGAACATTTACCAATGTCTACATGTATTTTTGACTGTCATTACTGGAGGGAAAGGAGATGCTGTCACCCAGTAGAGGCCAGGTATACTACTAAATACTCTACCATGCACAGGACAATTCCCCACAACAAAAATTATCAAGCCCAAAATGTCAATAGTGCCCAGGCTGAAAAACCCTGGTTTAAACTAAGGGTCTACATTAGATGTTAGTCACTTATCAGGTATCATACAAGTGAGAATTTAGATCTCAGGATCTAGAAAATTCTGTAAGTCTCCTTTGGCCATTTCTTCCACAGCCAAAACCATGTGAGCAGGTCATGGAGATCTTAAGACTGTGTACAAGTCACTGATCCAAAACTAAGGCTTGGGTAGCTTTGATTAAATCCTACACTTCCAGAGTTAGGGGGGAAAAAAGAAGTCAAGCCCTAAATGTAAAAAACACCTGTCCACAAAAATTAGTAAATTTGGAATTGCTGCAGTATTGGTCAAAGTTCAGGACTGTTTCTATACTAACATAAATTTTAGGACATTCTTCCACCTAAGCTGACCTCAGATGCAGTTCAACAGGATCGTGTGGGAGGCAACCAGTTGATGTGTCTCACATTGATGTGTCTCTCCCACTCCCACTCTATCTGAAAATGGAAAAATATCCTCAGATGAGGAGAAAAAGAGTAATACATGCTCACTGTAGGAAAACACACACACAATGCAAACCAGAGCACCAGCATAAAAATTAATGCGTGGCTCTGAGAAGACAATATCCACTCAAAGCCCATGTAACCAGCTAGTGAACCAAGTTGTAATAGCACTAGGCTGGGAAGGACTACCATCTAGTCCTTGCAAAGCTTTTCCCACGTTTTCAACTTCAGTCTATCAGCAATTTAAGAATCATCAAAAAATAAATAAATAAATAGCCCAGCTGGTGTGGCTCGGTGGTTGTGCGTGGACCCATGCACCAAGAGGTTGCTGGTTCATTCCTGGTCAGGGCACAGGCCCAGGTTGTAGGCCCAATCCCCATGGAGGGGGGGGGGGGAGAGGGGTGTGTGTGTGCAGGTGGCAGCTAATCAGTGTTCTCTCTCATCAATGTTTCTATCTCTCTCCCTCTCTAAAAATCAATCAATAAAAAAATAAAGTAAAAAAATAGTCCTGGGAGGCAATCAGGATCCAGGCTCAATTTGCTGTGGGCTTGCTAGACATTGGGAAGGAGAGTCATCACCACAAAAAGATCGCATTGAATCTGTGAGTGGAACCTAAACATGACACCCAGCTATTTAAATGGCGTTTTGGCAAACAGAAGGCCCGAGAATCTAAAAGGTGCAAAATGACCAGAGATCAGGGTAATTTATTTTTTATGAGAGCAAGGTTCTGCATGATCTTCAATTATTTTTCCCCACCCACTAAAAACTCCAGACACCTGAGAACGCCCATTGGGGAGGGGTGGTGGCACAGTACTAGATGGAACCCACTGGTCGTTAATGCTTTAGTTAACTTTTGCAGGGGCAACACTTGGTAAAATGCTACTTTTCTAAATTTAAAGATCAAAACACAATCTTTCCATCAGTAGAAGATGAGAATTAATCAGGAAGCAAAATGAAGCCACGTGTTGGGGTAATATTGTAAAAAGCTTTATTATTTCCGTATTTCTTAGTTAAAAAAATCAGAAAATATATATATATATAATTCTTTTCCTGTAGCCACTAAAATCGGGGGTCGGGGCGGGAAATAGCCTTCATAATCCAATTTTGCTGGAGGATTAGAATGATGGGCAAGTTGTTTTAAATTCTACCACATACTGTACTAACAAATAGGAAGACCTATTGAAGCAGTCAAGTCCTTTTAAACAGCTGTCTAAAACATTCTGGGTCAAGAAAGGTGTGTGTGTGTGTGTGTGTGTGAATCAAATCGTTACCCAAATTCCTATTCAGAATCTAAACTTCTAGAGAGAAAATTTTGGAACGTTCTAGAAAGAAGCGTAGTCTCAAGTTCTCACTTTCAGTTTTAGTAAAAAGAACAAGTACTTCTTGTTACAACTTTCAAATAAAAATACTCCATCCAAGACCCTACTACCCTTATCCAAGTTGCATTTCAATAATATAGCAATGACATCCTTGTTGTAACAATTTGGCATTTACTAGATGAGAAACAGTCTCTCCAAAGACTTCTAAAAGAGATGTAACATTTTAAGATGTCTTCCAGGTTAAGTCTGAAAGCGCCTTGTTTTTAGATTACTTTTTTTGTGTTCATTTTCCTGTAAGAAAAACTTTTGTTAACGATTCTACACATAACGTAGTGGTTCATACCAAGTTACTTGAATTGCAAAAACAATTAAAATATAAAGGAAAAATAAAAGAGCGGAAGTTTGCCTCAATCTTTATTTGGTCACGGTAAAATAATTTTAGTTACCTTCTAGACCTCAAGATTTAAGCGGCATGGGTATAATTTACATAAATGCCCAAATTTTAAAAGTAAAAACCGAGTTCAATAAGTATTTGAACACCTATGAAAAATGACAGAATTCCCGCAGTGATGCATTTTGCACTGATCAAGTTGTAAGATATATGCTTCAAATTCCTGACTTGATAAAATTTCCCCAGTATTTGGGCTAAAAAGAGTTTTCTCAAAGGCCGGGGAGACAGTTCGGAAGCAACTAAACCAAACTCTCGTTTTCTGCACATTAAGTGGACTTCACATTCCCCGTACAGCATTCACGAAACCAAAGTAAGCTTTAAACATTTTTTACGGAAAAACACATTCTCGGGTCTCGAGAAACTCGCCGCGGGCCCGCTCGGTACTGACAGCGGGCCGCGTACCCCTACGAACGGTACCGCGTCTTTGATTCTCAGCCTTCGGGGAGAACAAAGGGCGCTCGGGGTCTGGCAGGTGCTTCCCGCGCTGGGGAAACCTTCGCTACGAGACACGGATGCATAAGCATCTCCAAAGTCCTCTTGGAACGAGGAAAGAAAAGTGAGATTCCGAGAGGCCAGCGTGGCCTCCCGCCTGGAGCCTGAAAGTGCATAAGGCCTCACCTTGCTGCGGTCCTCCTCCTGCTGCTGCAGCAACTCGGGAACCGCGGCCATGGCGACGCGGGCCTCGAGCGCGGGCTGCCTGGCTGTGCGAGGAAAGAAGAGGCTGGGCCGCCGCCGCCGGGGCGCCTTGAGGGGCGGCCGCGGCCCCGCCTCCGATAGTCTCCCTGCCCCACGGCGGCAGGCGGCCTCGGGACTCCGCCACCATCCCAGAAGCCCCAAGAAATGCTAGGGGCGCGCCACGTGCTCTCCCAGAGCTGCCTCCCCCGTACCCGCTGCCGTCCATCTTGGAGCCTGGAAAAGAACCTACGCGGGGCCTACCCTCGCTCCGGGCCACGCGGAAGCCACAGACCACTGGGCCGCGACAGGAAAACGGAGCCACAAGCACTCCCAGCAAGGCCCGTCTCAAGAAAGACAGCGTTCTAGTACGGGGAAATTTATTTACTCAGCCAGGGTCCAAGATGGCGACGATCTGTGACGCAAACAAGATCTCGTGAGAGGGAAAAGGCGCGATTTGGAGGCGCCCGCGCTTCTGCCAGAGGGGAGGGACTGCCCATGGATCTCGTGAGTGACACTCTCATGAGCGTCAATGGAGGTGAACCAGGACCTAGGGGCGGGGCGTGAGCGCCGCAGTGCTTGCTGGGATCGCCGTGCCTTGGGCGAGGCCAAGCTGGATATCGAATCGCTGGGCTGTTGTAAAAGACGCATCCGGAGAGGTTGTTAGCCCACTGCGAGTTAAAGCGAAGGGTATGGCTTCTGTGGTTCCTAATCCTGCCTTGGGCTAGGCTTCTATTTAAACCATCTCTTCTCTAATCCGGACTCCCAACGTAAGGGCCACTGCTTTCCTGTCGCCACCATTGTTCCACACTTACGGCGTCGGAGCTGGGGGCTGACTTACGGGGATCATGGTGGTGCGCCCTGCTGACTGCCGCTTACCGGCTCGGACCTCACGTGGCCTTTCTGGAGCTCCAGTGCCACGTCCGTAAAACGAGTCGCAATAGTACCCACCTTAGAGGGTGTGAAGGTTAAATGAGAGCTTTCCAAGAACCTTATATTTAGGGATCCGTGTTTAATTGTTAACTGTGACTTATAGCCGTTATAGGATGGGCTATAGAGTTGTTTTTCTCTGTCTCACACACCTCCCTTCCTGGGAGTCCCATTTGTTCAAATCGGATATTGGGGTCTTGTCCAAGCCGTCTGCCGTTTCGCATTTTAAATACGGATCCTTCTGGTATTGATGAGAGCCTTTCTTTGGAAATAGCTTTGTCCAAACATGTCGCAAAAGCTTATTGAAGACGTTTTTAAATGTGCAATATCATACTGATGCATCTTTCACATTGATAGTTAAAATATTTAACACAATTGGTACCTAACACCACTTTTCTCTTTAATAGGAATGCAAAACCCAAAAAAGCACTCGGCATTGCAAGGAGACTAGAGGGAAATGAAAAATCTAAAAATGAAGGTATTTCAGACTATCTGCAGGCAGCTTAGAAGTTCAAAGGGGTTTTCTGTAGAACCATCCCCACGAGTGGGTTTCTCCACTTCCTCTTATTTGTGTGGCCGGAAGAAAAAAATGAACCCTTATGAAGAGGTGAACCAAGAAAAGTACTCTGATTTAGTGCAGTCTGTCTTGTCATTCAGAGGCCATGCTCAAACTCCAGAATCATTGTTCAAGGAAGACACTTTACTCTATGGACCTGTGAGTAAGTGTAAACCCCCAAAACAAGATGAGGAAGCAAGAATTCCAGGAAATTGGTTTCCTCTCTTCAATGCAGAGAGAAGCTTAAAACCTAATGCAACAAGTGATGCTCCAATTCCTTTGAAAATCCCTTTGCAAAGGAATAAGGGACCAAGTGTGACCCGGGTCCTTCAGAAGACCATGACATCAGAACAGATTTTCTATTTGGAGAGGTGGAAAAAGCGGATGATTCTGGAACTGGGAGAGGATGGCTTTGCAGAATACACTTCAAGTAATTTTCTTAATCCTGATTCTATATTGTTACTATGTTTCCTGAATATAGAGCACTAGTGTCATTCTATTGAGGTTTTTTTAAACCTTAACTAGTGAAGAATTACTTTCAAATGATAATAATTAGTTTTGATAGCACTTTGTCTATTAACTCCCTTAATCCTCATGACCAATCCTGCTGTTCCTATTTTACAAATGAAACTGAATCACAGAGATCAAGTATTTTGACTAAATGATGTATAAAACATTTATTTTATTAGCTACAAACTTAAATATTAGAATTGCCTGTTTTCTTTGATTATGGAAAAGAGTCAATCACCTAATAATGGGATTCTAGTTGTTTGCTAAGCATTCTGTTCAGAATCTAGTATATACCCCCTTGTTCTACTTATCAACAGAGACTGACAAACCAGACTATTGGAATTAAAACAATAAGTTAGAACACATAATGTGTATCTAGACCTTGATAAATTGAGATAATCAGATGCTCTTGATTAGGAACTGAGAATAAATGAACTTTAGCCTTCAACTCCTAATTTACTAACTTATTAGATAAGTGAAGAGAATAGCTTCCTTGAAACAGATTCCATTCAAAAGCAAGATAAAAAGAAAGACCATTGCACAGGTGAATTAACTGATCCTCATCAGAACTGTGCAGTTGTCTTTTTTTTGTTTTTTAATCCTCATCCAAAGATATTTTTCTTTTTGTTTTTTAATGTTTTTTATTGCTTGTTTAGAGAGAAGAAGGGAATTATTTAGAGAAAAGAAGGGAGAGAGAGAGAAACATCAATCGGCTGCCGGCTGCCTCCTCCACGACCCCTACTGGGGATGGAGCCGAAAACCTGGGCATGTGCCCTGACCTGGAATTGAACCAGGACCTCTCAGCCCCATGGGACGATGCTCAATCCACTGAGCCACACCAGGCCAAGGATATTTTTCCATTGATTTTTTTTTAGATGAAGTGGAAGGGAAAGAGAGAGGGAGACATCGATTGCAAAATCCCAACCCCAACGCAGGCCAGGGATTGAACCTGCAACCCAGGTAGGTGCTCTTGACTGGGAATTGAACCTGCAACTCTTCAGTCCTCAGGCTGACACTAACTGCTGAGCCAAACTGGTCAGGGCCAGTTGTCTTGTCTTAAAGTTTCACATTGATCATTCCATAGCCTATGCTTCCCAGAGAGCAGTATGTGTACCCCTACTGGTACACAAGCACTTTTATTTTTAAGAGTAATGCACTTGTTTTGAAGCATGTTGGAAAAAAATGTGTGTGCATACATGTTAAACAAGTGGTCATGTGTGTTTTAAGGAAAATTATTAAATAATAGGTGGTACCTGGATATGGCAAAAATGGTCAGGGCCATAACACCTTATAACATTTCCTCAGCTGTTTGGGACAAGGAATCTATGCAGGGGCTAATTGCCTTCTGAAGATATTTAATTAGTTACAACCACCAAACTACAGGCATATCTCTTTTTATTGTGATTATGCTTCACAGGTGCTGACTTTTTGTTTTACAAATTGAAGGAAAAAGGTTACAACTCACTTTAGATACTTGCTTTATTATAGTGGTGTAATACTGGATCCTCAGTATCTCCAAGGTATGCCTCTGCTTTCTAAAGAAGGAACATTAAAAAAAAAATTTAATGGCATCTTAAGTTTTTTATTTGGTACGTGCCCCTAGCGGGAACCGAACCAGTGACTCTCTGGTCCGTAGGCCGACGCTCCAACCGCTGAGCCAAACCGGCCAGGGCCTTAAGTTTTTTATTTGTTGGTTTCCCAAGTATCAGTTTACCTTTTTTTTTTTTTTTATCCTCACCCGAGGAGAGGACATTTTTCCATTTTTCGTTCAGGTAGAGTGGGAGGGAGAGAGAGGAAGAGAGAGAGAGAGAGAAACATCGATGTGAAAGGAACACACCGGGTGGCTGCCACCCGCACGACCCACCAGGGCCGGGGACAAACTGCAACCGAGGTACATGCCCTTAGCGGGAACCGAACCCTGGTCTCTCAGGACCACAGGCTGACGCTCTAACCGCTGAGCCAAACCGGCCAGGGCTCAGTTTACCTTTTGAAGTTTGCTGAAGATAAGAGAGTCTGACATTACTATTAATTTACAAGTGTCTATCATAGTGGAAATAGCTGGAGTTTATTTTTTTCAGTTTTTTGCTACTGATTTTTTTAATCCTAAATTATTATCCATCCTGTCAGTTCTATCAATCGGAATATTGGAGACTCATGAATTTTTTTTTAATGCCCTTTATGTACTGGGACTTGAAAACATTTCACTATCATTCCTCTAACTTACTGAGTGAATAGTCTGACTTGATGCTATCTGCAATAAATCTGAAATCTTTTAAAATTTATTTTGCCCTGGCTGGGTAGTTCAGTTGGTTAGAGCATCATCCCGATACGCCAAAGTTGTGGGTTTGATTCCCAGTCAAGGCAGCTATAATAGTCAACCAAAGAATGCATAAATAAGTAGAACAGCAGAAATGTATACTTTTTTCTCTGTCTCCCTTCCTCTCTCAAAAATCAATATATTTTAAATTTTTTAATTTATTTTGACGAATTGTTTTTAATGTTCTGAGCCTTATAATCTAAGGAACCCTATAATCTAGATTCTTGCCTTTTAGATGTGAAGAACCTAGCTAGAGATGGTCTGCAGTGGGGAATGAGTTGTCTGTTTGCTTGGCAGTTGATGCCATTTTTTTTCCTATTTTCAATATGCTTGTGTTCCATTTCATTAAGCTAGCCTGTAGATGAATACTACACTTCTTTTTCCTAGGTTTTTCTTTCCATCAGTCTTAAATTTCTTCTAGGCCTTTCATGTGCTGACATTAAGTCCAACTGAGCTAAGTAAAATTGGAGTAGAATAACTTTGTTGCTCAGTTGAATTTCATTTAACCCTTTAAGTAATTTCCCAGAAGTGATTCCACATTTTGCCAGTGACAGAACTGACCTCTCAAAATCTTTATAAAAAATACCTGACATGTGTACAGTTTGATATTACCTTGTTAGATGAGATAGTTTTCCTCATTTTCTGTGGGTCTCTGTCTAAGCATGTATATTTCCCACTATTTCTGTGTGTATCTGAATGATGATCCCTGGCCCAGCCAGTGTGGTTCAGTGGTTGAGCATCGACCCATGCTCTAAGAGGTCATTGGTTCTATTCCTGGTCTGGGCATATGCCCTGGTTGTGTACCAAATCCCTAGTGGGGGTCATGCAAGAGGTAGCGAGTTAATAATCCCTGAATTTCCTTCCTTGCTCTGCTGTGTGGTAGAGAGAATGAACATATAGACTCTGGTGTCTGGCCACTGGGTCCAGGTCCAGCTTTTGGCTTTTGGGTAAATTAACAGCTCTGGCCAAGTAATGATCCTTTTCTTGCTGGTTGTTGTATTTGAAAGTTAATACAGTAGTTTTAAAAATATGTTTTTGTTGATTTTTTTTTTTTTAGAAAGAGAAGAAAGGAGAGGGATTGAGCCTAAAACCTGGGCATGTACCCTGACCTCGGATTGAACCTATGACCTCTTGGTGCATGGGATGATGCTCAATCAACTGAGCCACACTGGCCAGACTTAATACACTGTTTTGATATTTACCTGTCAGTGGAGTTACCATGATCATGAAGGTGGTTTTCTTAGGGCCAGGCTTAATCATTACACTTCAGATATGCTGACCCCTGTGATTTCTCCAAATGTGGGATACTTGACTGCATGATAAGTGGTAGTGGGGGACTGCCTCTGTGCTCTCTCCTGTTTAAAATAAAAGGAATAAGTAACGGTATCTTGAAAGCACCAAGGTCACTGTTTAGCAAACCACCACCCCTTTTTTCCCTTATGGAGAGTCAGGTAAATTGATATGTGATATTTTTCTCATTTGCTGAATATGTATGTTCTCAGGCTCCTTTTAAAAGTGTTTGAGGAAAAATATTCAGGACAGAAGAACTATCCTAGGCTGTTCTAACCCTAAAAAAAGTGCAGGAGAAGAATGTCACAAATTTTCCTCCCCTCCTTCCAAGTCCCATAAAATCCCCACAACAATTCCTTGTTTTTAATTTATATGTGTCTTGTTTTTCATTTCTTGGCCAGTCACTAAGCCTGTTAGTGAGACTTCCCCGTTGTTTTTATGTCCATAGTTAAGTTTTGGTTGTAAAAAGAAGTGTAAACGAAAGTGTAGTTCCTAAATTTCTAATAATTTACCACAACAAATTAACTTACTAAAATGGATATTTAAATTCACGGTACCATAAATCAGGTGTGTTTCTTTAGCCCCCAGATCTTGAATTTTAGTTTTGGCCTAATTTAATTAGAAGTACTTCATTTTAATCCATTTTATTGGCTAAACTATTCCAGTCCCTTTGGTTGTCAAAGTGCGTTCATGAGGGCTGAAATGTGGTGTCTAAGGGGTTGTCACTTAAAGGTAAATCTTCTGTAATTTTTAATTGTATTACTCAGAGTTTTTTAGTACTACTTTGGTCTTTTTTTGTTTTGTTTTTCCTTTTCCCTTGATTTTTTTTTTTTTTTCCCCAGACATATTTTTACAAGGGAAACAGTTCCATGAAGCCTTGGAAAGCATACTTTCACCCCAGGGGAACTTAAAGAGAGATGAAAATCTCCTTGAATCTGGCTACATCGAAAGCATCCAGCATATTCTGAAAGATATCAGTGGAGTTCGAGCTCTTGAAAGCGCTGTTCAGCATGAGACCTTAAAGTATATAGGTCTGCTAGACTGTGTGGCTGAGTATCAGTAAGTATTACATTGTTATCAAAGTGTGGTGGTGAATTATTGTAGGATGGGACAGATGGTACCTGTCAAACACTACTTTGTCCTCTTAACCCCTGCTTCAAGGTGCATCCTCTGTAAAGATAAAACCTATATGATAGATAAACCAATTGGATAAGAATGGATATGGGGGAAGAGCTACATAATCCTTGTAAATCTGCATTCCAAAATTAAAATGTTTGGTGGAGAAAAGGCATAACTTTTTAATAACCCTAGAATGCCCTATGTTCTAGCATGTTCATCTTCCTCTCTTCTCAAGCCAGGTACCAGCCATAAGATCCAATTTAATTCCTGCATTTTCTTTCCTATTCCCCTAAAAATGGCATCATAATCTGTTAGCCTTGAAAATCAACTCTTTTCCTGGATTCCAGGTAGTTTTGACATGGACAGGAACTCTGAGGTTACTACAGCTTCCTTTGTTTTTGTTGTGTTTTTTTTTTTTTAAATTTTTTCTTTATTGATTTTAGAGGGAGAGGAAGAGAGAGATGGAAACATGCCCCCTTCTGAGGATCGGCCCACAACCTGGGCATGTGCCCTGACCAGGAATTGAACCAGTGACCTCTCGGTGCATGGGTCGACTCTCAACCACTGAGCCACACTGGCCGGGCAGTTTCCTTTGGTTTTTAAGTGGTTCCTCTTATGTGTTTCCCACTTCTTCCAGATTTCAAGGGTAGGTATGACCTGTGGATACCCCTATTCCAAAAGAAATGTGTGAGCAGTACAACAGAATGGGAGAAGAAAAATCTATGAGTATAACCCCTAGAACTCTAGTTAAAAATTAACAATATTTATTACTCTGGAAACTGTGTTTAGGCCACCATACAGTTTTGTGCCATAGCTGCCTAATATCTGAGAAGAGCCATGTGTGCCTAGAAATTTAATAGGCTATTTTTGGCTGCCCTTAGGATTAACCAGTGGATCCATACAATCAATTCTACCCAAGGCCTACAAGAAATTCCTGACACCAGACACTTTTCTTAGGGATTACAAAACATGTCCACAGTACAGATGTTTGTTTTTTTTGACTCTTGACATAAAGAAGATTAGCATTAAGAATATGAACATTGAATACTTTTTAAACTAAGGTTTTAGAAATTTAAAAAGAATTTTTGATGGGCAGTATGTGTCCCTGAAACTAATTTTTTTTTTTAAAGTCTTCCACCCTACTCTTTTCAAAAAGAAATATTTTAATGTAAAATATACATAAAATTGACCATTTATATTTAAATGTATAGCTCAGTGGCATTAAGTACATTTATAATGTGCAACCATCACCACCATACATCTCTGGTACAGTTTTCATCTGTTAAAACTGAAATTCTATATGCATTAAATAGTAACTTCCCCATTTCCTGCTACTTCCAGATGCTGGCAACCAACATTTTCCATATTCTCTAACACTTATTTTCTGTTCTTTTTTTTGTTGTTGAAAGTATTACATATGTCCCCCTTTTTTTCCCCCATTGACCCCCTCCTCCCCGCTCCCACTTTTCTCCTACCTTCCCCTCACTATTGTCTGGTCCATTGGTTATGCATATATGCATATCAGTTCTTTGGTTTATCTTTTTCTGTCCCTCCCACCCCCCTTTCCTCTGAGATTCCTTAGCCTAACAACCAATTTGTACTTTTTAATCCCTTCACCTTTTTTGCCCATTCCCAAACCCCTTGCCTGTCTGGCAAGCAACAAAAAATTCTCTTTATCTATGAATCTGTTTCTGTTCTGCTTGCTCATTTTGTTTGTAGATTTGATTGTTGATAGATGTGTATTTATTGCCATTTTATTGTTCATATTTTTGTTCTCTTTCAAGAAGACACTTCAACATTTCATATACTGGTTTGGTGGTGATGAACTCCTTTAGCCTTTTCTTGTCTGGGAAACTCTTGATATGTCCATCGATTTTAAATGATAGCTTTGTAGGATAGAGTAATCTTGGTTAAAGGTCATTGCTTTTCATCACTTTGAATATTTCTTGCCACTCCTTTTGCCCTGCAAGGTTTCTTTTGAGAAATTGGCTAACAACTAATTGGGAACTCCTTTGTAGATAACTGCGTTTCTTTCGCTACTTTTAAGGTTCTCTCTTTGTTTTTAACCTTTGGCATATTGACGATGATGTGTCTTGGTGTGGACCTCTTTGGGTTCATCTTGTTTGAGACTCTGTGTGCTTCCTGGGCATGTATGTCTGTTCCATTCACCAAGTTAGGGAAGTTTTCTGCCATTATTTTTTCAAATAGGTTTTCAATTTCTTGCTCTCTTTTTTTCTCCTTCTGGCACCCTCATGATGCAAATGTTGGTACATTTGAAGCTGTCCCAGAGGCTCCTTACACTATCAACATTTTTTTTTTATTCTTTGCTCTGTTTGGGTGTATTCCAAACCGATGGTTTGCTTCTTGGCTTCTCCTACTCTACTATTGATTCCCTGTAAATTATTCTTTATTTCAGTTAGTGCATCCTTCATTTCTGACTGGTCTTTTTTTTATGCTCTTGAGGCCCTCGCTCAGTTCTTTGAAGTACTCACTAAGTTCCTTGAGCATCCTTATTACCAGTGTTTTGAACTCTGCATCTGTTAGATTGCTTATCTTTGTTTCATTTAGTTCTTTTCCTGGAGTTTGTTCTGTTCTTTCATTTGGTACATGTTTCTTTGTCTCCTCATTTTGGCTGCCTCCTTGTGTTTGTTTCTATGTATTAGGTAGAGTTGCTATGTCTCCTAGGCTTCCTAGGGTGGTCTGTTGTGGTAGGTGTCCTGTAGGGTCCAGTGGCACAGCCTCCCTGGTCACCCCAGCTGGGCCCTCTAGTTGCACTCATCATGTGGGCTGTCCACCTTTCTGTTGTAATTGAGTCTTGATTGCTGTTGGCATGTCAATGGGAGGGATTTACTCAGGCTGATCAGCTGCAAGGACTGGCTGTTCCCACTGACCTCTGTTGACCTTGGAGGATCAGCTGTGCAGGATCCACCACACAGAGCAAGACTGACTTCAGCAGGGCTCTGGTTCCCACTGAGTCCACTCTTTGAGTGTGTCATTTGAGCTGGTTGGGTGGTGGTGCTTTGACATGGTCTGAAGCTGTCTACTGGGTGGGCCGGCTCTAGGGCAGGGTCAGCCACTGCCTGTGTTCTACCTGGGACCACCAGGCATAAGCTACAAAGCTATCTACAGATGGCTGCTTCTTATGCTGGTCTTGGAGGTACCCAGGCAAGGCCAAGCTGTGAACCAAGGCTGGCTGTTTCTAGTGCCGGGCTGGTGCTGCTTACCAAGAGGTGTGGGGCTCACTGAGGCCAGATGCTGCCTGTTTGAGAGAATTTAGGAAAATCTGTAGCAGGAGCCAAGACAGGTCAATCCTGTGGTAAAGCCACTGGAAACAGCTTGGGTTGGCCTGAAAGATGGGTGGGGCGGGGGTGGGGGGGCAAACAGTGTGAGCTAGGTTGCTGGAGTCCCAGATATGATGGTACCCATCTGCCTGCCTGGTTGGGGAAGGGCTCACCAAAGGAACAGTGGCCTCCACCAGCACATCTGTCTGGGAGAAAGCTGCCTCTCCAGCTCTCACCCCAATGCCAAACAATTCAGTTCTTCCTTGTATGTCTCTGGTGCCTTTCAAGCTGCCTCCTCCACGCTGGAACCTGTAGGGAGCCATTCCAAGTAAGTCCGTATGTGGGCCCTTTTAAGAGGAACTGCCTGGGACTCCTCAGCCTCAATTCCCTCTGTTTTTTTGTTGTTGTTTTAAATATTTTTTCTTTATTTTTATTATTATTATTTTTTTTTAGAGAGAGAGGAAGGGAGAGGAAGAGAGAGATAGAAACATCGATGAGAGGGAACGTCCATTGGCTGCCTCCTGCATGCCCCCCCCCCCCACTGGGGATCAGGCCCACAACCTGGGCATATACCCTGACCAGGAATTGAACTGGCGACCTCTTGGTGCATGGATCAACGCTCAACCACTGAGTCACACCTGGCAGGCCCCTCTGGTTTTTATAGCTAGAAGTTATGGGGACTTTATTCCTGGCACTGGCACCCTGAGCTGGGGGCCTGTTGTGGGACAGGGACTCTTCACTCCTCACGGAGGACCTTCCCAGCTGAGGTAGCCCTCCTGATTTTTATCCGCCACATGTGGGTGTGGGACCTGCCAGTCTGCACTTCCACCCCTCCTACTAGTGTCAGTGTGGTTCCTTTAATTTAGTAGTTGTAGGGTTTCCATTCAGCTCAATTTCAGGTGGTTCTGAATGATGGTTGTTCTGTAGTATAGTTGTAATTTTGATGTGGTTGTGAGGGAGGAGGCAAGTACCATATTTACCTACACCCATTTTGACGGGAAATCCCTGTGTTTTTTTTTTTTAATAGTAGCCATCCTAATGTGTGTGAGGTAGAATCTTATTGTAGATTTGATTTGCATTTCCCTAAGGATTAGTGATGTCTAGCATTATTTCATGTGCTGATTGGCCATTAATTTATATTTAGAGAAATGTCTGAGTTTTTTGCCTATTGTTTTTTTTTTTTATTTCTTTCTTGTTTTTGTTTTTTTTTAATATTCTGGATATTCTTTTTTTTGCTAAAATATATTTTTATGGATCTTAGAAAAAGGAAGGGAGAGGGAGGGAGGGAGAGAGAGAGAGGAAGAAAGAGAAACATCAACATCGATGTGAGAGAGAAACACCGATTGGTTGCTCCCATATGTACCCTGACTGGGGATCAAACCTGCAACCTGGGTATGTACCCTAACCAGGTATTGAACCAACACTTTTTTGGTGCATGAGACAATACTCAACCAACTGAGCCATACTGGCTAGGGCAAGAATATTAATTATTTATCTGATACATGATTTGAAATATTTTCTCCCATTGCCCTTTCACTCTGCTGATAGTGTTTGATGCAGAAATTTTCAAAACTTCTGTAATCCATTATGTATGTTTGCTATAGATTTTTTATATGTGGCTTTGATGGTAAGGTAGTTTCTTTCTATTCCTAGTTTGTT